AATTTCCTTGGCTGTCATGAAGCCTCGTTGTTGGACCTTTTACAGCCAGGCTGTAACACTCTCAGAACTGCTTCTTGTTTACGGTGTGAGGTAGGGATCGGTGGAAGCCTCTCTCACTCAGGGAAGGCACAGCCACCCTGGGGTTGGGGCGAATCAGTGTGGTAAAAGAGTCAGGGTATAGGGACAACCCGTTCCAGGGTGGCCTATTTTAGGGCCTAGAAACCTGTTTCACTGGTAGCATCATAAAAATAAACATAAAGCAGTGCCCTGTAATTCCTCTTTCCTTCACCCTAGAACTTTGTGGCACACTCACGCCTCCCTCAGCCTGCAGCCCCCTTCTCCACACTGTCATTTTTGCCAGCCCAGGAGCCTCCCTGAAAGACACAAACATTGAATGCAGAGGAAGACAGGGACGCTTCTCCTCCATATCCGTCCACGTTCCAGATGTGCTCCTGCTCCGCCCATCCACGGACTTGCCCAGAGCTGCTCTCACAGGCCCTCGGGCTGGGCAAGGCTGCCAGTAGGGGCCCTTCTGGAAAATGTGGCAAGCTGTTCAGTGTGACCTCAAGGCTGGTCCTCCCAGGCCATGTGGAGGGCGTCTACACAGCAGGAAGCGGGGCTGAGGACCGAGAGCCCGCACAGGAGAGCACCAGCTCTGTGCAGGGAATGAACAGAGCTCAGCCCCGGTGACCAGCACCGAGGTCCTTGGCTTCCTCAGAGAAGACGATTCGGACAGTCAAGTTGGCCAGGCATGGTGGCGCACACCTGTGATCCTAGCACTCTGTGAGGCCCGGGCAGGAAAGGGCCTGGGCAACTTAAACAGATCCTGTCTCAAAATACAAAATAAAAATAGGGAGGTAGCTCTGTGCAAAGGCTCTGGGTTTAATCCTTGGCACTACCATAAATAAAGAAATAAAGCCTGTCATGCCACCGCCAGCTGACTGCAGCTTGTCCTCTTCACGGAAGAGGAGGCCAGGGTCTCAGGCCGAGCCACGGGTGGAAATAAGGAGTCTTCTGGTCTCGGAGTGCTTGCTCCCACATTCTGGAATATTCCATTCCCTCTGAGCAGAATCTTCTTGCTAATTTTTTTAAAACTGAAGTTCTTAAAATACAGGTCTTGAATTTGAGATGAGAATTTCTTTGCAGTCACATGGATAATGAAGTCCAACTGAGAGTGTGTTTTAGAAAAATAAAGTCCAAAAGAAAAGAAAAATCTCTAAAGTACAAAACTGTTTTGATCCCATGGGTCAAACACTCATCGCTGTGTTGTTTATTTGCTGATTTTTACGTAAAGGAGCATTTTAGAAGCACATCTCTCTCGGGAGGTTTGCAAGCTTGCCGAGTGAGGTGGCAGTGGCATGTTTTAAATGCCCGAAAGTATTTGTCCTCTCTGCTGGCGGAGGAGCCCCTCCTGGTTATCTAATATGGCACAGGCCCTGCCCCAGACATCACCGTTGATAGAGCTGCTTATGCTGCCTCGAAGTCCTGAGGACAGGCGGGAAAGGCACCGCACGTGGGCGGGACCCCAGCTGGCTGCTTCCCTTGGTTTCCTCCCAGCAAGGTTTCAGGGCAGCCAGGTTCTGTCCGTGTGGCTCAGGGCTCTGGAACAAGGATGCGGAGGTCGGCAGGCCCTAAAGACAAAGCCTCGAGGTGGCAGAGCCTCTCTGTCATCATGCCCGCCAGCCAGATCTTTCACAGAGCAGTCGAGGTTCAAGAGGAGGCAGCACAGGCTTTGTGTCTCAGTGGGAAGGGTGTTCAATAATTCACAGGCGTCTTTCTTTACCACAACCCTAAACTGCACAGAGCCTGAAACTGCACAGTAACAAGTGACAAAAATTAAACCAAAAATACATAGGTGGGTCATAAAGAAAAAAACAACAGAAAACAAAAAATGTGACATGCTTTGTCCCAGGTGAAGAATAATGTATTTATTCACTGATTCACTCAATGATGAGAAGGTATACAATGTGTAAGGCACTGTTTCTATCTCTGGTGAATCAGAAACAAACAAGCCAGATAAGTCCCGGAGATCATGGAACTTTAAAAACTGTTAGAAGAAGAAAACACTGAAGAAATACAATCATTGTTCAGTATTCGCAAGGGGTTTTCTCCCAAGGACCCCCACGGGCACCAAAATCTACAGATGTTAAAGGCCTCTGTGTAAAATAGTGGAGTGTTTGTGTGTAACTTACACACATCTTTCTGTGTATAAATAGTCTCTAGATGACTGAAAATCCCTAATAAAATGTAAATGCTATGTAAATATTTGCTATACCGTATTATTTAGGGGGTAATGACAAGAAAAAGTCTGTCTTTGTTTAGTAGAGATGTAATTTTTTCCTGAATATTTTAAATCCATAGTCAGTTAAATCTACGATGCGAAACCCCCACAGCTGATGGTAATTACGAGAATATTTAACCACCAAAAGCAATACCATGAGATCATGTACTGGGCTTCTTGACCCAAAGCGGGTCAGGGGAGTTTCCTGTGAAGACCAACAATGTAGGCAGGACCTAAATGAGACTGGACAGGGCAGGAGAGTGACAAAGGGAACAGCACACGCAAAGACTCAGAAGCAGGAGGACAGCAAAGGCCAGACACGGAAGAGGGTGCTGAGTGTGTCAGTGGGGCCTGACCAGGTCAGTCCAGCCAGGACTTTGTCCCACCCCGGGGCAACGGTCAGCTCTCAAAAGGCTTCAGGTAGGAAAGAGATCTCAGATTTGCGTCTTTGGTCTCTCCTGGAGCATCCAGAGAGGATGCCCGGAGGCTGAGAAGCAGGCTGAGGGTCTGAGAGAAGCACGGCTCTCCCATCCCCTGCGCCGGCTGGTGGCGGGAAATGTGGCACGGCCAGGGGCTGCTGTGCCCTCCGCACTCCCCAGAGGGCTGGGACAGTTTGTGTCAGTGTCCTCTCTGGCTCTCAGCCTGTCATTCTCCACTCTCTCACTCCCAGCTTTCAGCCCTGACCCTCACCGAAACAGACCTGCAAGCTGCTGTTTCCTGGGGTTAGACCAAGAGTGTCCTCCAGTGTCCTGGCTACCTGTGCTGCAGCACAAGCCCTGTTCAATAAAGACTCCCTTTCTGTGGTCCTTTTACCCTAAGTAATGTGGCCATTTCCAAAGGAAAAGCAAAAAACCATTCGGAGACACTAACCCACAAGAACTCAAGAAATGGGCAGCCTGTAAAGACCAGCAGCTGAGGTCAGCGCCCAATAGGGTAGACCTACGATGCCCAGTACAAGCTGGCACCAGGTGACAGCCAGCAGCAGCAGAGATCAGCGTCCCATAGAGTTGAAATACAGTGTCCAGCACAAGCTGGCACCAGATGGTGGTGCCCAGCAGTGGCAGTGACCAGCAGCTGCTGTGTTAATTCCTGGCATCCTGCGTTAGCTGGTATCACACAGTGATATCAGGACTGCTAACAGGACTGCACTTTGCCAGTTCACATTTTGTATCTGAACTGAGCAAAAGAACCCTCGGCTGGTTGGAAAACAGATGATACAAGGAGATGCCTGCTCGGAGAGATTGCGGGGAAGTGCAGAATATTTGGGAGGTGGAATGGACCACCCCTGGGGAAGCCAAGGAGCCTGGTTCGAGGGAAGTTCCCAATTAACATTTATAGAATAAGTAGATGTGTTGGCTTTCTCATCACTGGAACAAAATTCCCAATGTCTGTGCCTTAGAGGAGGAGAGGTTTATCTGGCCCACAGTTTCCAGTGGGTTCAGTCCATGGCTGGCCAGCTCCAAGGTACAAACAGCAGAGGGAAAGGGCCTGGACATGGAACAGCTGGTCGTCCTGTGGCAGCCGGCAAGCAGAGATCAAAGCAAGAAGCAGGGACAAAACTACAAAGCATGCAAAATGCAGGTCACAGCCCAGGGAGCCACCCGCCACCAGGCCTCACCCCCGAAGGCCACACTCAACCACTCAGCCACGGTGAATCCAGTGATGAATGTAGCACCCTGTGATCATGAGGGGTGCCACCAAAAGGTGGGGGAATATTTGAGATCTAAGGAATGGACCTCAGAGTTGAGAGAAGACATTTTCAGGGAAGACTTCAAAGTTTGGGGCGTGAGCTGAAGTGGGCTTGGGGGGCTGTCATTCGAGCATTTTAATGGGAAAGAAAAGAGAACAAACCGCCTCTCAGACACAGTGAGTCTCTCGTACCCAGGGAACAGCTGCCCCTCCGGTGACGAGGTTCTCTCCAGGGCCCGGGCTCCTCCGGTTGCTGTGTGTCTAGGCATCAGCCCTGGGCAGGCTCAGTGCCCTCTTCTTAACCAGGTGAAATCACAGCTCCCATTGGAAGGCAGGCATCACCCCCTCAGGGGACCTCAGAGCCCATTCCCAGGGCCACAGTGGGCACAGAGCGGAGGAGCTGAGCCTCCAGCCCGATCCGCTGAAGATTCGAGTCTCACCGAGGTACCCGCTTGGCTCTGGCCTCCAGCCTTAATTATAGCGGAGACTGTTACTGTGTGTAATTATGGCCGTCAGTGGACTGAGGAGGCCACATTCCTTCCCTGCAGCGTCTCCCTGGTACTGTGGCCGCCCATGCACACCTGGCTGCACAGGCGGGAAGCAAAGGTGGCCGAGCTCACCATCATGACCAGGAAATGTGCATCTCTGTGATTTTCTAGAAGGAGAGAAGCATAGAGATAAACAAGTAAAATGAAACTCATGCACACGCCAACAGAAACAAAAAGAAACTCCAGTTCCTTGTTTGAGTTTGTGTTCTCAGTGTAAGTGATAGTCCCGGGTTCTGCATAAACCCCGCTCTTCCTGTCTGCCGAGCTGTCTTCCTGTGTTCCCTCTCTAATCCGCGTGAGCCTTAGCTTTATCATCTGTATCTATCCTTCTGCCTCTGTGGTTCCATCGCCCTTGGATTTGGGGGTGAATAAGGGGCAGAATAGTGGTCCAGGGGCCCCGGGGCCCCCTGGGGAGGAGAGAAGGTTCCACTCAGGACAGTGGAGCCTTCCTCACTCGGTCCCTGTTCCCAAAGCAGGTGCAGAATGAGCAGGGCAGACCCCAGCTTGCACCTGAACCCTCTGCTCCCCAAGACCCTCCTGACGCCTGAGAGGTGACGAAACACTCACCTTAAGGGAAGGCCAGCATGCTCACCCCGCTTCACAGGGGAGCAAGGGCCTCTTCCCATGCTGGGTGAGGCAGGGATTGGCTTTGGGACTCCTCCAGGGTCACCTGACTGACGTGAAGCCGGGACTGGACTGCTCCTGTGCTCCTTCCTTAGACCTGCCCCGCATGCTCCCGCTGCTGCTGACCCCGGCACAGACACTGGGGTCTCCAGAATGATCCCTCTGGCGCTTCCCCTGCTGTCACTGCTCTGCAGATCCCGTGGCAGGCCTGCGGGCAGGAGCGCTTGGAGCAGGGCCTGGGGCGGGACTGTGTGATCCACACTCACTGTGCCACAAGCGCTCTGTGCGAATGTGGGCAGAGACTTCACCTGTAGATGCCTCGGAGGCCAGAAGCCCCAGACAGACCCCAGGATGAGGGCTCAGGCAGGCAGGCAGGGCAGAGGGTGGGCGAAAGTGGAGGATGGAGGGACTCACGGGGAGCCCCAGCTCAGCCCGACCCTGGGAGCTGCAGTGTGGGCGTCCCTCTCTCCCCTCCCCTCCAGCCAGGGCGGCTCTCCCTCTCTTCCCACTCTTTTTAAAATTGGTCCCCCAGATGCGTGCGTTTCACCCTGGCAGAGTCACACTGCCCACCCTGTACAGTTGTCACCCTGGGCAAAACCCTTTCCTGTCCCCGTTTGCTATTTTGGGGGATTCCAGTGCGTCTAATGTGTTTTGCTCATGCCCTTTCCCCTCTTACCACACTTCCTGGTCCTTTTGGGTTTAGATTCCACACAGCAGGGAGAATGCACAGTTTGTTTGCATCTGACTTGCTTCATATGCCACGATGGTCTCCAGATCCACCCGTGCTCCTGCAGATGACAGAACTGTGATCTCCCTCATGACGTGTGCTGTGTTTTCTTCACCCACCCCTCTGCTGCTGGCCACCGGCTGCCTCTGCATCCTGGCTACCGTGAGCCGTGCCGCAGTAAGCATGGTACGGGGGGAGCCCTGCGGGGTGCCGACCTGAACTGCGTGGCTGCAGGCCAAGGAGCTGAGTGGAAGGACCGCTCTCTTCTCGGGGTCTTGAGGACCCTCCATACTATTTCCGTAGTAACTGTGCTAGTATAATTTATGGTTTTTTCTGTGTCAGAGTTTTTCAGACTCAGACCCTGCACCATGAGGCAGGCCCTGGGCTCATCCTGTCTCGGGATGCAGGGCCATGCAAGACCCATGGCTTTGCCCAGGCCTGGAGTCTCCCCAGGGGTCCAGACGCTGATGGTCAGAAGCAATGGGATGCAGAAGCCACTTGGGTATGTGGAAGGGGCAAAGGCCAGGAAGGGCCTGGCCGTTTCCTCACTGAGGAGGACCATCTCACTAGTGCTGCTGGGGTACCCAGGAGCCTCATGATTAGTGAAATGGGGTTGGCAATCAAAGACATGCTTTTCTGCTTCCACTGGCGGCCCGGGAAGAATGAAGCACTGAGCCCTCACGAGCCCTTTATGTTCTGGAGCACCAGAGCTGTTGGACCCGGAATCCAGGCTCAGGAGGCCTTGGTGCTTTGGGCTGGACAGTGGGCGTATGCTGTGGCCACCAGCTGGGCACCTCAAGATGCCCAGACCAAGGCAGTCCCATGCCCTCAAGTTTCCCTCTGGAATCTTCTCCGAGATGGGGCTACCCTGAGCTTCTCCACAGGCTCTCAAGCTTTGCCACTGGCTGTGTCTGGCCCTAGGACTAAAGCATGTTTGCAGCCCGCAGCCCCAGCAGCTCTCACTGGGGGTTCCTGCACTCAGGACAGCATAGCCTCTGGGTCTGCAGTGTGGTGGGAACAGAAAGGAGGCCCTGGAGACTCAACAGGAACCAGCCAAACACAGCAGGCTAAGGGCTGCGCTTTGGTCTTGTTGTCTAATCACAGTAATTGCATTTAGCCTACTCTTTAGAAATTTTACTATGTGATCTGCGATTAATAATTCTATTTTACGGATGAAGAAACTAAGGCTCGGCGAGGTGAAGTAACTCCCTTGAATTTACCGATCACCCCCATCTCTTGGCAGTGCCCCCCACACCTACCTGCAGGAGACCCCACGGAAGGTCCAGGGTCAGTGCTGGCTTCTCCTCTCTATGGTGGCAATGTGGGGGACCCTTCTGACTCCTCTAGGTCAATGAGTGAGCAAAGGGGGGTTCTGAAGGAGTCAGAGACCCTTAGTCTGAGGGTGAGATGCAGCAGCCACAAGGGATCTCAAGAAAAGGGAGCACATAGTTGTTAATTTTTTTCAGGAGGAATCATTGTTGTAATAGGGTTAACCCATCAGCGGCTTCTCCCAGCTCCTGGATATGACTCAGCATTTCCCTGCAGGAGCCCTGGGATGCTACCGAGCATTCGAGTGTCCCGGCACAGACTGAGATCTGAGGGTCCTGCGGACCCTAAAGCCAAATGTGGCCCATTTGGCTTCTCCCTGGGAAGCATGCAGGTCCTCCACCCTTGCTTAGTGGAAATCTAGAGCTTCCCTGCCCAGCACCCATCCCCAGTTCTCTGAGTGACAGCTCCGGGCTGTGTTTGAGGGACTTTCTTCACCCCTGACCCACATCAGATGGTCAGTCCCCAATCCACATCTCCCTGAGGCCATTGCTAGTTTACACTGGTGCGGTCAAAGGGAGCCTCGGGGGACCCCGTAGAGGGGGTGCCTTCTGCACTGCTGTCTGCAGCAGCCCTTTCCCAAGAAGGGCAGAGTCTGCCTCTGAACACTGGTATACCCGGGGGCCTGGGCAAAGAGGGGAAAGGTCGAAAGTGTCTCCCCAGGGAAGCCTGGAGTTAGTTCTCGAACTCAAACCTGCACAACTCCACGCTCCGCTGAGTCCTGTCAGTGCCTGCAGCCCTCCAGAGCAGGTCTGGGCCCCGCAGAGAAGGATCCAGCTGGACCTGCCCACTGTCCTGCAGCACCTAGGGCCAGTCTTCCTCCAGGCTTTGCCCTGCTCAGTCTGAGCGTCTACCCCTGTCCCGAGGGTGAGCTCTCCCTTGCCAAGAAACACTGCAGTTCTCCTTCAGGGAGGAGCTCCCTGTGACCCCTGCGGTCTCGGGGCGGCCCCCTGCCCCCAGTTCCAGGTGTTTCCGCATCTGCCCGCAGCAGCCGTGCTTCTTCCAGTAACATCTGTTACCAAGTGCACCAGCAAGCATCTCTTTGCTTTCTTCCCACAATTTTTTTTATTTTGAAATCATTGTAGATCCGCACGCAATTCATAGGAAACAATGCAGAGACCCAAGACCCTTCCCTGCCTGTCCACCGTGCCCTGTTACCAAAACACGGCCAGAGCACGGGCCTTGGCACCACCTAGTAGCTTTATTCAGACTTCAGCGGTTTAGATCTGTGGGGCGAGCTCCAGATCTTCCCCATTTGAGATGGCATGTTTGCGGCTGGCATGACCTTAAGACATAGGCACTGGAGCAATCTATAAATCAAATCTGAGGGCTCCGGGGACACCCCAAAGAGACCGAAGGTCATTTCCATAGCAGCTAACAGAGACACGGTTTCTCTACTCACAAGATTTCTGACCCCAAACGTGTGGCTTTTTCATCCCAAGAAATTCTCCAGCTGTCTGTGGCCCCAGGTGAGGTCCCATAGTTTGATCAACCTTAAAGACAATTGTTCCCTTGGTGGCTGCACAGAAGAGAGGGAGTCCTGTAGGAACCAAAGCTCGGGCATCCATGCAGGTCGTTAAAAATAATTTTTCTGAATTAGCAGGAAAAGCATCAGAGGATTTTTGATCCCATGGAGGTGGTCCAGCAGAGGAGGGACTTTTGACCGTCTAGAGTGCTGGGGGACCATAACTGGTATCTGAGGAGAGGGCTGGACCTCGTGGAAATGGGGACAGGAGGTTTTAGTAACAAGGGCACAAAGAGACCGTTCTTGGCTGCTTTGTTATCCCACGGAAGAGGAGGCCTGGGGCACAGAGGGGAGCAGAGAGGCAGTCGGGAAGCCAGCAGGAAACCTGCAAGGAACATGAGAGAGGAAATGGAGCTCGATCGGTGCCAGGCAGCTCTGAAGGTCCAGGCGACTCTTAAAAGTGATTTAAAAGGTATTTTCTGAGAACATCAGCCTTAGACGTGGAATGAACTGGGGGCAAATCCAGGGCAGCTTCTAGCATGGCTCAGTTTCTCCCTCTGTAAAATGGGGGTGGGGAATCTACCTGCAGTGTTGTGGCAAAGGTCAAGAGAGGTGGTGCATACACATCCTGGCACTGAACAGGACACAGGAAGCTTGGCCAGCACAGGGAGTCTGATTTCGCCCACCCTGGTCCTTCAGCTCTGTGCCTCAAACCCCCTGGGGTCTCCCACGGCTCCCTGGAGGTCAGTTCACACTTGGCTCTTTCTGATGGGATGGACACTTCCTTCAGGGGACTTCAAGTCTCCTTGCTTATGAGTCTCTGTGACCAGAGTCACCCGCCGGAAGCCGGAGAGGAGATGGAGACTGGTGAGGGCAGTGCCTGTCCCTGCCCCTTGGCCAGCCAGTGGGCATGGGGCTTCCTGATGCGAGGAACTGGTAGACCTTGAGCCCACCCGCCTGCTGAGGCTGGGTCTTTCATAAATAAAATCAAAGACAGCTGTTGAGGGTCGGGAGGTGAGGAAATTGTAAAATCAATAGGCCCTGACATCAGAATTTACTATGCCCTCTGAGATACTGAGAGGAAGAATCTGGATCTGAAAACATTAGCATTTCAAAGGAGCTCAGGCGCGGTCCTGGTGGGGAAAGATTAGATCATGGAGCAATTGCTGAAATTTTAGCCTTTTGCTGCCTAGACAATAACTCCTTGCTGACATCCGATGGATGGGACCGTCTTGGGCCATTTCCAAAGCCAAGAAGAGTCAAGAAATAATTCTCCCCTCGGCTCCTGGCACCAGCCAGCCGACTTGGAGCTGCTTTTGTGTTTGGAAGTCTGGTGATGATTTAATTATTGACTTACAGTGAGATTTTGTTTTCCTGAAAGGAAGACATACACCCCAGGGAAGGGTCCACGGGCTGTGCAGGTCCCAGACCCCAGGCAGGTCTCTGGAAGGAGCCAGGTGGGTGCTGCGTAGCTCCATGTGGGGAGCCCCCTAGCCAGGTTGTTCCTAGAGACAGAGCGGGAGGACTCAGTGGGACGCCTGGGGTTCCAAGCCTGTCTGTCCAAGTCATCTCACCCATTCCTCAACTACGGGGTCCCCCCACCCCTGTTCCCTGATTTTGTGGAGTGTCAGCTACACCAAACCACAAGCAACCCCACGGACACAGGTAGGGCACCCCCCCACTCTCCACTCTCCCCGCCCACATCTTGGCTTTGGGTTCCCCTGTCTAACTAAGTCCCCACCATCGTAAAGATCCACTGCATCAGTGTCCTCCCATGAAAAGCACTGACCTATAGGTCCCCTGTGTCCATCAGGACTTTCTCCATGTAGAGGCAAAGAGTGAAAACATTTTGCTTTGAGCCCGTTGAGCACTGTGCAAGCTAGAAGCTCCACGGAGCATCCAGGATGCTCAGTCTCTCCCTCAGCCTGGATTCCTTGTAAGCTGGCCCATCACACTGCACAGGGCACAGAAATCATCAGTCTTTCACTCTTGGGTGCTGAGAACCAGGGAAGAGGCCCTCTTGGGCAGGCGGAGCTGAGTGCGTGGCGGTCGCAGTGAGAGAGGGGTTGGTTACTTGTGACAGAAGGACAGCCCTGGAGCTGTTGGCAAGCAGGGTTCCCCTTGAACAGAGAAAACATGGGGCTGCGTCAGGAAAGCCGTACGTGCTCACCTAGGGAAGGAGTACCAGTGCGGGCGAGTATACCCGAGCACGCTTAGTTCAGGGCGTGCATCTCTGAGCCTTTTCGGTGTAAGCTGCACATTTCTGCACACTCAGTTCAAGGACACAGAGCACTTTTTACCCCGCAGTATGGGGGATTGGATCCAGGATCTTCACACTAAGCTGCATCTCTAGCCCTTTCCATAAACAAAAAAGCATTTTTTTCATTATTAACTCTTGTGATCTCGCTAATTGCTAAGTTGCTGTGGCTGGACTCAATCTCTCGGTCCTTCTGCCCCAGCCTCCAGAGTGCTGGGGTTACAGGGACACGCTGCTAGTAGCTTCTGACTGAGCGCGCCATGTCTCTAGGAAGTGGACTGAGGTTACTTGGAAACAAGAGAGAGGCTGGGGAGGACTGGGATGCCCTTCCCTGTGTCCAGACCCTGCCTGGTGAGAACCAGTCACCCTGTGCAGAGGACTCTCTCAGAGGGCTGACCCATGAGCTCGCCTGGCCTTGCCCTGGACTGAGAGCTTCCCACAGGTCGGGCCTGGTGAGCATCCATCTGTGCAGCCCCGAGCCCAGGGCCTGGCTGGTGCAGGGGGAGCTCTCGAGGTACCAGGGGGCTGAGTTTGGGAGACAGCACCAGTGCATGCAGAAGTGAAATCTGCAGCCTCCCTCCTCGAGGTTTTAGGACTGGAGGCGCCAGACCAAGAACCAGGGGACGTGGGATTCAGGAAGTGGGCTGGGAGGCAGCCTTTGGGGTTCAGCTGAGGGTCTCTGGCTGCCCCTAATAGCTTCCCCTGTGCCTTGCAGGCTTGGATCTTGGAATTGAAAACGTTGTATGCCCAGAGCGCACCCCCTCCCCGTCGATGCCCGGGCAGTGCTCCTTTTCAGCCTTCTCTGAAGGAGGTCAGCAGCTGCACCCCAGCCCTGAGAAATCACAGACGGCCTTCATCCCTCTCACTCCCCTCTGCCTGGACCCCTTCCTCCTCTGTTAGAGGAGCAAACCCCAACACAGAAGAAGCAACACATGCGCTGACCACAGGCCTGTAGCTGGGGTCAGCCAGAAAGGCCAGGAAGAGTTGAGGCGGCCTCTGTCCCAAAGCCCAGAGGCACAGAGAAGGCACAGAGGTGCTCCAGGGCTTGGGGCTGGGCGGTGGTGGTGGCAGGTGCGTTTCCTACCCAGACCAACAAGTCTATCAAGGGAGGGGCGGAATGTACTCAGGCACCTGTGTGCCAGTAACGGCCAGGATCAAAAAGTGCCCACATCCTGGGTGGGCTCATGCCCAGAGGCAGTGTAGACTGAAGGAGGGGTGCTCTATCAGCTTTATCGACTACACCCAGATGTGGGGATCGGAACCTCCCAGTCCTGGAGAGACACTCAGCCAGCAAGGGAGGAACCCGGATCCGGATCAGGGAGTGCCGGGGAGCCAGGAGGACCACTGGGAGGAGCATCAGGTCTTCCCAGCTCACAAAACACAACAAAACACCCATCTCCCACACACCCTTTGGGAGAACTTGTCTCCCAAGGGCCGGCTGTGGATAGGTGGATTTCTTAAGCCCTGTAATTCAGCCCATCAAAGTCTGAGCATCCCAGCAGCCCAGCCAGGTGGGCGTCTTTTCTGGGCTTATTTGGTCAGCATTCATCTCACCTGCTGTGAGTCAGCAAGCCCGGCGGAGGAAACCGCCGCAGGGCTGCAGGACTGTCTTTTGGTGTCCCTCCTAAGGGGGCCCAGCGGTGGCAGCCATGGGCAGCGAGGGCACTGGCACATAGCTGCCAAACCTAGGCAGTCCTCAGGGAAGAGAGAGACTCGGTTTATGTGAACTGTAAACAGTGTTGCTGGGACTGCTCGTAACCAAGTATGTTTAGGGCTGTTTAATGGGGCAGCAACTGGCATGTTCCTATAAACCATGCGTGACACTGGGTCAGCTCAGCAGACACCTGACGTACAGAACTCCAAACAAATAATCGGATCTGACAGGCAATGTTTCCAGCAAAACCCAGGGAAGTACCTCCTCAAGTGGAAGGGGGCGTGCCCACAGACACTGGTGTGATTCAGAGTCTAGGTCTGTTTACGTTGCTGGCTTGGGGACAGTGGAGAGAGGGACGTGGGTTTATGACTTTGAACCTGCAAAAGAATCCTGAGAGCAACACCCTGGGAGAGGGGTTAGTTTAGTGCCAGCCCCAGCGAGCCAGGGAGGAAAGATGTCCCTGTCCAGGGCTGAGGACAGAAGGGACCCCTGGTCCTCGAAACTGTGTTGTGTCCTGAAGTCCTTCTAGGTGACCCTCTGCTTCAGACCCAGGTACCCAAGGCAAGTCTCTCTGGGCTGGTTGCACGGAGGGTGGGGTCTCTATCAGCAGCTGTCTGATGGCCAGCCCCAAAGTGGCCTCCCTGGTCAGCCAGTCCTTCCCACAGCGGCTGCTGGCTGGGCCTCGGATGCTGCCCTGTTCACCTCCTTCTGGAACTGGCTTCTCCAGCCTCATGAAGATTACAGAAACCCTCGTGGTGAAGGAAGCCTGAGCTGGTTTGTGCTGCGTTGCTTGCAATCTGTCAAAAACTGGCAGTGCTGCCCTCCTCTGTGAAGTGGGCACTTCCCGATAATATTGGTGTGGGGCGTTCCCTGGGTTCCCGGGGTGCATGTAGCTCCAGGACTTCTCAGATCAGGCTGGGGACTCCTTAAAAATGACAATACTCTGCAGGCTTTGTCTACGGAGCAGTGTCTCAGCTACCAACACTGCTACGTTAGAAACAGAAAGCGATGCATCTTCCGGCACAAGGATCACAAGCGCGTGTCCCCTCCGTTAGCAGGGGGGCAGTGGTGTCCTCGCTCATCACAGGCCGCCGGGAAACACCCCTGTACTCCCCGGAAAGAAGAGGCTCTCACAGAGTCGCAGCTTAGTGCTGTCTCGGAAGTGGTTCCAACCCCAAGGCCCTGTAGGGCACCCCAGGATCTCTGGGCTCCGCACTTGGAGAATCACCAACCTTCGTAGGTGCTTCCCCCAGTTTCACAGCTAAAGTCAGAAATAAAAGGAAGTGGGGCAGCAGATTTGAACCCAGATCCTGGGTTTGAAGCCTAGCGCACACCCGCCCCCAGCTCGGTGAGGAGCTAACCGGAGGGAGGAGGCGTGTCCAAACTGTCCCTGGACATCCCCGCCACCCTGGCACCTTGCATGAGCAGCTGCCCCTCCTGGCTTCCTAAGTCCCTAAGCTGCCGTCTGCCCCAGGCCTGGCTTGACACCAGGGCCCAGCCAGGCTGCTACCTGTGGTCTCCAGGGGCTTCTGTGTGGAGCTCCGAGGCTGCCAGGTGAGCCTTGAGCCTCGATTGCTTTCCAGTCCCTTCTTGGGGGGGGGGTGGCTGTCCACCCTGAGGACAGGTGGTGCCTGCCCTGTGGTGTGGATGTCACCCCTGTTGTGTGCTGTGCACAGAAGCCTCTGCTTCTCAGGTTCAGCCATGTCCCTGAACCCCACCTCCGAGGGGCAGTTCTGCTCCGGAACATGTTACTTTTCACCTCTAAACTCCTGCTTCCTGCTCTGTACAATGGTGTCACAACAAAAGGGCCGCCGTGCTCTGACCGCTGCCCACCTCGCCGTCCCCGGTCTCCTCTATCCTGCCATCTAACCGGCTCACTTCCGGCTCCCCGAGTGCCGCTGTCCCCCAGCTGGCAGGTCCTCCCCCAGCTCCTGCCCCCACCTCGGAGTCGCCCTCAAGTCTCAACCAAGAATCCGCTTCCTTTGCTGCCCTGGCTGGAGGCAACTCTGCAGGCTGCAGGAAGAGGACACCTTGGCGACCGAAGTGGTAATTATGTGATTTATCTATCGGCCCTCTACACCTGCACTCTCTGATGCACAAGCCACTAGCCACAAATTAACTTAATTAGAATTAAATAAAATTCAAAATTCAGCTCCCGAGCGTCCCTGTGTTAACCACTCCACCGCTGTCATTTAGTGTGAGTCGCCGGATCAATCGCTGGTGGCAGCACCAGGTTCCCCGTGTGAGGGAGGCATGGCCAGAAGGAGGTGCGGGCCAGCGTGGTGAGGCTCCCCAGCCCTCGCCCTCCAGGGCCTCACAGATGCCTCCATGCAGGCTCTGTCAGCAGCCAGGCCCAGCCCTGACCCAGCAGGGGACCCAGGAGCTTTCCGGAAAGAGAATTGAAATGCAGAAGCAGAGCCAGGGACTCTGAGCGCCCCCCGGGGTGCAGCCCAGAGGGCAGTGGCTCCCCCACCGCGAGCGCTGGGCCCCAGCACCAGCCCAGGGCCTGGCGGGACAGCGGCCTCCCCTGTTCCTGCTCCTGCCCTCATGCTGCATGAGTTCATTTTGGCCAGACCCAGGGGAAGTCAGAGGACAAAGGAGAGCGCTTCCTTCCTGGCTGCGTTTGGGTCCTCCTGGGGTTGGGGATGGAGTGGGACCAGGTAGAGAATCATCAGCCCAGGATGCGTGGTGCTGTTCCGTCTAAACTGTCATCTCTCGGGGAATGATGAAATGGCACAACTGCTGCACTGTCCCAGAACCCTGGGAGGCTGAGGTAGGGGATATCAGGTTCAAGTCCAGCCCAGTCAGCTTAGGGAGTTAGTGGCACCCTGTCTTAAAAAGTTTAAAACTTCAAAGGAGGCAGTCAGAACAAAGGTTGTGGATTCAATTCCCAATGCTGTTGATACATAAATAAATACATAAAAATTTTAAAGGTCAGCCATCCTTCATTCCTGCAAGATTAGATGACCGTGTCATTGTTTCTAGGTGCCAAGAGGTCCCGGTTCCGGCCCAGGCCCGTCTCTCCTGCACCAGCTCCCCCAGCCTCCTGGCCTCCTCCCGGCAGCCAGCCTCAGTTCCTGTTGCCCTCAGAACCCTCCTGGGCGTGGCCCACGTGACCAGGCTTTGGGATGGCAGAGAAAAACTGAATCTGGCGCGCCAGTAACATCCGTGATTCCACACAGCTTGAGGACTCGGAGAGCTCCCCAGGCCACCGTGCTGGATGGGGACCCGCAGGTCAGCAGAGCCTGAGGTGCTGGGACCCCACCTGGCACCTCTACAGCTGCAGCCGCCTGTCCTACTAAGTCAGCAACAGCCGATCCATCTCGGCTTCCTCCTCCCAACCCTGCCTGCTCGCTGCCACCCCAGGACCTTTGCACTCACTGTCCCCATCTGGTAGTCCTTCATGGCTCCATAACCCCTTTCTGGAGAGGAGCTCCTAAAACAAGTCTCCCTAAATGTGGAGGACCTCAGGGGACCATCCGCAGGAACTGCTCTGGAAGGACCTTGTGCTCTGGAAGTCCTTGGGTCTAGCTCAGTATGGAGCAGGGACAAAGGGCAGTGGCCAGCTGGATGAAAAGACCACGAAGGGGTCACTCTGCTGCCGGCCCTGGGCCCCACCTCCTGCAGGGTTCTTATTTGCCCCCCAGGAGTCCCATACACTCCAGAGGCAGATGAGGAGTCACGGGTGCTCTGAGCAGGCCAGGGAGAAGCCTGAGCTGCTGCATACGTTAAACGCGGCTGTGTCGGGCGCCAGCAGCCTCGGAACCAGGCCGGAGCGCGCGGCCATATGGGGATGCGGTTGCGGAAGAAATATTTATGAAATGGCTTTTCCCAATGTTTAATCTACAGCAGATGCGTCTGAAGTGAATCTGTTTGGCTTGGCTCTCACTGCGGGGAGGAGCCAGTGGATGTGGGGCCTCGGAGACGGAGGGGAGGAGACAGGGCTGCCCAGAGATGCCACTGTGACTCAGCTCTGGAGGAAGCCCTGGGGTGCCTGGGGACAACCCTGGCTGGGGGAACGCGGGGCAGGGAGAGCAGGAGGAAGTTCCCGAGGACCCCCCACGCTTGACTTCCTCTTGGGAGCATTTCACCCGCCCCTGGAATGATGAACCGAGGGCTGCGTTTCTTCCTAAGAGTTACGGGAGGGAACCGGGGTCATCGTTACATTTGGGAAGACGAGAAAACAATCCCTTCTTGAGAGTGCTTAACAACACAGATGTTTCTGGAACCAGAAGGGGACCGGCCAGTTTCCTGGCTTCTTCAACTCCTGCTCAGTGTCCCTCAGTCACTGCTGCCGTGGCTCAGGTCCCTGACAGCTGAGCCTTGCTCCTGCCTCAGGGCCCTTGCACAGTCTGCTCCCTCAGCCCAGCAGCTCCTGCCTGCCTCTTGACCACGTAACCCTTTCTCCTCTCCAATCCCACATCGTTTTCTCAGTGAGGCACTGGGTGACCTTTGAAATTCAGAGGAGATTTGCTCCCATGGAAACTTGTGCTCCTCTCCCCTTGTCCCTCTTGCACTCTGAACCCCATTTCCATGAGTGTGATACACAGCCCTGGTGTGCCTCACATTAGGCACCTTGCCCACCTCAGGGCTTCCACATCTGCGCGATGCCTGGCCCAGAGGAGGTGCCTGGCCAACACTTGCAGCTGGGATGGACAAGGCAAAAAGCCGTAAGGGCAGGTGGCCCCAAATGGGCACACAGGACAGCAGTGGTGCAGTTTGCAGACGCTGCTGGGTTCCCCTCGACCTGTAAGGGCCTCCCACACTTGTCCTGGGTGTGGAAGACAGGAGGACGGTCCCATCCTGGGACCCATGGCTATGTCACCTTGCATGGCAAAGGGCCTTGGTGGGGGGGACTCCATGAAAAATCTCGGGAGTGAAAGTTGTCTGGATTCTCCAGGTATCGGATGAGCCCAATACGGATATGAGTCGGTAAAACTTAAGACACTCTCAACCTCACTAATTGTTCAGGAAATGAGGCTGTGGTGGTGTAGCCTATAACCCCACACTCAGAAGCCTGAGGCAGGAGGATTGCTTTGGGCACCAGCCTGAGTTATGTGGTGAGTCCAAGGATAGCCTGAACTGCATAACGCGACACTATCTCAAAATAAAATAAAATAAAATAAAATGGAATTTAAAACACAAGCAAAAGCTCGTCCATGTCGGTGAGAGTGCAGAGAAAGAAACACCTTGTATGCTTGCAGTGGGGACCTAAAACGTTGCCACCACTGCAGGAAATGTTCTGGTGACTCTTCAGAAAGTCAAGGACACTCACCCTGGGTGTCCCTCATGGCGAAACAGATAAACATCACAGAGTGACAAGGGCACCGGTCCACCTCAGAAAAGAAGGTGACTGACACTCACCACAGCAGGGTGGACCCCAGTTACACTAGTGAACTAAGCCAGCCACAAAAGTCAAATGCGGAGGAGGAGTCCATGCATGCCAGGTACGCAGAGCAGCCGGGTTCATCCGGTGAACAGTGGAGCAGTGGGTACAGGGGTGCAGGGGGGGACGAATCAGGGTCAGTGTGCTGGGGGACAGAAGTCCACTGGGGATGGCGGCTGGCGCAGGTTGGCCTGGTGATGTGCCTGAACTCTGTGCCTCCAGCTGGGCTCTTGAACACTTAGGATGGTGAATTTTTTAATGTATTTTCCTACCATTAAAATTCATTTTTAAAATAGCAGGAAATTTGCTGGCCGCTCTGAGTGAGACACACATTCCAAAGAAGGTCAGACTGGTGACGGTGCGAGCAGCATCTGTGCCTCGGTGCCAGTCTGGGCTGGGGACCCGGCCCTCGTGAGGAGAGAGTCACAGCCTGCAGTGGCGAGGAGTGGGGATCTCAGTCCCACAACCTCAAGATTCAGACTAAACTCCATCCCTTGCAGGAGCTGGGCCAGGGCATCAGACTTCCCTCCTGCAGAGGTATGAGATGATCAGTTCACGAAGTCGAGACTGCTAAGTGTGTGATAACCGGTTAGGGCCACAGGACTCTGTCCCAACACCAGGAAATTAAACAGATCTTGAGACACAGCATGGTGCAGGGAGGGACAGGCCCAGCCCAGAGTCCTGGCTCGCCACTGTACTGTAGGCCTCAGTTTCCCAGCCTGTATAATGAACGGTAGGCCTAGGTGTGGTTGTCTGCCCCCTTTCCTCGGCATTTGAATTGTACAAACTGTTTTCTAAGGAAATTATTATTTATGTATCTCATGTTACTGAATTCTTCTGAAGTTGATATTATTATCATCCCTATTGAATCGATGGGGAAACTGAGGCACAGAGCTATAACAACTTGTGAAGCGTCTCACACTAGTGGAAAGAGGAGCTGGAGTCTAAGACCGCACACCTGCTGCTCTGGTTTGGGTCTGGACGTCCCCTCTGAGCCCCATGTACTTTTAGAGAGGGGCTTTTTCCGAGGGAGCTAAATCTAGGATTTGTGATTGATTCCTGGTTCAGTGCTGGGATTGAGAGTTCTGGGATTAAAGGCAGGTGACGGCTGGATCAGTCCTCCATGCACTGTCATAGAAACCAAGCCCACCCATGCGTCCCTGGCCCATGGTTATGCATATCCGATTCCCACGGGCCGCTTCCAAGCATCTGAATGGGAGAGCCAGGTCGGAGGAGCCAGACAGACCCAGTACCCACCGTGTTTCCAAGCCCCGTGACCCTGGACCAACTCCTTCCGCCCCCTGGCCTCATCCTGTCCTTCCGTTAAGGAGGGATCCTCCGGTGGTTACGCGAATCCGATTGCAGACCACAGGCTCAGCGTGGCTGCCACTTCACAGACACCGGCCAGGCCACACCGCTCCCCTTGGCACCCCTCAGCCTGTGCTGTTCCTTTTCTGTCCTGTTTCCCTCAGTGGCCCTTCCAGCTCCCGCTGGGACAGATGTGAAGGAGTGACTCTGCGCTCCACGCCCTGCGCCCCTCTGACTGACGAGGGACTTCTTTGGAATGTAATTCTTTCTCCATTAATCATCAGGCAGACAGCTCTCCTTCCCCAGCCCTCTTAAGCAAACAACAACCAAAAAGCAAAGTCCTTTCTTCCAACTCAAAGTACAGATTTGTATAAGAAAAGCACAGCTGTTCAGTACAGGATGGGGGGCACTTTTGGCAATCCAGAGCAGACAGGACCATCCCCAGCCATGGACAGGTCTCTACCAGGCTGGGCCATGTGTTTTCTCTTGCACTCCAGATTTCTGGCTTCCTTATCCCCAGCTTCCCACTTCCCAGGCCTGCAGCCACCAAGCTGCATGCACGGAGGACTGGAGCACGGCACCAAGTGACCTCGGGACCTCAGGCCAGGGTGCAAATCCCGGCGGGTACGCAGTCTGGGCAAAGCACAGCATTCCGCGGGCCCAGGCTCACAGTGGAAAGTGGGAGGCATAAAGCAATAGCTGGGCTGGCTGCACGTCACAGAGCTGCCTGTGGGGCAGCAGCTGCAGTTTCGGGGATCCCCAGACCGTCCCCAGACTCGGTGATTTGCTAATGATCTCTCAGACACCAGAAGCGGTCACACTCATGGCTACGGTTTATTACCGCAAAGGACCTGCATTGAAACAGGCTCGTTAAGCAGATGCCAGGGCGGCTCTGAGTGTGGGCATCTCAGCTGTCATCTCCTGCTAACTTCCCGCGGGGCAGTGGGTGACCACATCTATCAAGTGTAGCTAGCTCAGAAAGCTTCCCGAGCTATTTGAGCTATTCGGGGGTTTCTGCTGGGACTGAGTCATATAGACAACATGGCCCACTGCGGGAGGCAGGGGCCAGCCTTTTGTCTCTAGTCTCCCCAGGGGTCAGCTGATGGCATACTCAAGACCTCACCATGAACAATGCTGTGGCATGGGCTGTCTGTGTGTGGGTCGGAAATCAAAGACACTCTTATCATACGGGACACTCCAAGGACTTAGAAGCCACTTCACTTTGAGAGCATGTGTCAGGAGCAAAGGGCAGAACTCTCTTCCGATGATGTTAATTCTTTACAAGCTTAGCTGCAAAATAGCTCACGAAGTGAGCTCTTGCCTGGGGCTGATCCTCCTCTTCCCCCTCCAGCCAGTATGGCCCACACAGGGTGCAGAGAGCAGGACACAGAGATGTCCACTGCAGCATTGCTTGTAAAAGGGAGAAGGAAAGCAGTGACACCGATGCTCAGAAAGGGGCATTTAGACACACGCAGGACACCTGAAGAGCCTTGCCGTGGGCACTGAGGTGGAAGGTGGCCAAGGAGACGCCCGTTATACAGTGATTGTGTCCAGTGGCTCTTGGCCCTAAGCTGGTGATTGGAAATTCTAACCCTTGCCATTCCTGCCTCTAAGTGGGGCGCCAGGCTGCCGGACCGAGAGAGGCAGGCGAGGAGCTCTTCGTGGACGGTGTTGTCACAGGCAGGAGCCGTGGAAGTTGGTGGCTCCCCATTTGACAGACTGCAGGGGTGACTGGCTCCCTCATGCTCACTGATCTCCAGCGAAGCCCTGTGCTGGCTGCTTTCAGAAGCCAAACCAGATCTTTAGCTCAAGCAGCGGCCAGGCCAGTGTGGAAGATGGACCACAGACAGACCTGAAGACGGCACATGCTTGCCCAAGCTCGCATGGAAAACCCCACACTCCCAGCTCACAGGAAAAGCAGCCGGAAGAAGCTCAGAGAGCAGCTGGCCTGGGCTCAGTGGGGACAGGGGCTCCATCTGGGGCGATAGGAGGCTGCGAAGGACTTGGGTGCAGACAGGAAGGGAAAAGGTACACGGGGAGGACACAGGAAGCCAAAGTCTGGTTAGGAGTCACCCGGGGTCATCTGGGCGGATGCAAAGGTGTGGTTCCCACCACGCTTCCTTCCCAGGCCCTGCTTCCCCCAGCTGCGGGGCAGCTGGCAGCGAGGGCTCGCTGTGGGATATGCAGGACTCTGCTGAGCCCAGGTGCCATGCGGTGGGGACAGAAGAGGGGCTCACACCTAAAAGGGACCGTGGCACAAGCGGCCCTCGTCCTCCCCAGCTGCTTCTAAAGGCCCTGTGGGCTGGCTCCTTTCCTGGGACCATGTCCTTGGTGGAGGGCGACAGACACATGGCCAGAAGAGCGCTGGTAGGGACAGAGGATGGACAAGCCACTGACCCTTAGCCATTGATCCCTAAAAGCACGATGAGTGTCTTCACTAAGAGGCAGTGGCCTCAAACTGGTTTTTGCTAAATATGACTCTTCACTGGAGGCTGCAGATGCTTGGTAACTAAAGGCAGAGAGCAAAGTTTGACCTTCATTTCATGACGTCTGGGTCAGATCCTTCTCAGCTCCGCATGTGGCCGTGTAGTCATCTAGGGAGTACAGGTTCCAAAGTTTACTAGCCCTCAATTTACCTAGCCTCTCACATTGCCTGTTTTGTTTTGCTTTTGGTGGTACTGGGTAGTGAACCCAGGGCCTTTGCACTGAATTATACCCTCAGCTCTAGTTATTTATGTTTTTAATTTATTCCCAGACAGGGTTTCACTAAATGGTGCAGGCTGGCTGAATTTGCATCCTCCTGCTTCAGCTTCCCAGAGTGCTGGGATCTCATCCCCTTTTGACCGACAGTGCCTACCCTCAGAAATCCCCACTGCCCTAAATCCCTGGTCACTTGGATTCCAGCAGAGCCCACATCTCTGAGACCGCCCCAGGCATACTGGCTATGGTCTCCCAGAGGGCCCAGGAACAGGTTAGGTTCTGTGACAGTTCCTCCATGCCAGAACTGGGCACGGCTGTGTCCCTCTGAGGACCAGGAGCTGGACCAGGCTTTGAGAGCTCCACATTCACTTCCCTGTTTCGGTCGGACCAAGAGGGTGGATCTGCCGGTGGTGGGGAGGGCCACAGCCAGCACTCGGCAGACCTGGAGGACAGCCCTCTGTCTCGGCTCACCTCGGTCCTCATCCTGGAAGAATTTGCTCGGCAGGCCTGGTGGGGACACTTGGGGACGCGGTGAACTTGGGTTGTGAATAACAAGCCCAGTTGCCGGGTGAGGTCACCACCGATCCACTATGTCAGCCCCCAAGAATGTTTCCCTTTCCCTCGCCTGTTGGGTGACCCCTGGAAGGTGCTGCAGCAGGTCACTAAAGAGAGGGCAATTAATTTTTACAGCCCTCGATCCCCGCGGCCACCGCATGCTGGGCTGAGGTCACTCTCGCCGCTTTCTTGTCATCTGTTTTAAAGATGTTGGTGTCTTGAGACTCACGCCTCCCAGTGAGCTCAGGCCCCAGGTTCAAGGGAAAACAGCCACTGTGACTCGGGCAGCTCTGCAGAGCTCCCGGCAGGACCGGAGGTGACAGCGGAGACAGCCACCTGGCACTGCCGGTCTTGCCCCGCCTTGGCCTGAGTTCTCTCACGGTCCAAACTCAAAGCTTTAGCTATACTCACATTTGCCAAACCTGAGTCACACCCAACTCATGACTGCCATTCTGGCCTCACCTGTCACCTGCACTAGGATTCTTCATGGTGGGATCTTCCCCTAGAAATCACCTCATATTTTAAATTACACACAGTTAATTTAAAAGGAAACTTGGTCTCACCACCTGTTATGGTTGGATGTGCCGTACCCCCCAAAGGGTCCTGTGTGAAGCCCTGCTCCCTAAACCAGCGTGTTCAGAAGTGCGGTTTGGGGGAGATGACTGGATCCCATGGACTTGGAACTCACGAGTGGACCGACTTGTCATGGTGACGCCATTGCTGGGAGGTGCTGGAAGTGGGGCCGGGCTGGGTGAAGGGCCCCCTCACTCTCCTCTCTCCTCTGTTTCTGCTTCCCGGCAGCCACTCGGCGAGCTGCTTGGCTCCAGCACAGGCTCCCCAAAATGTGCTGCCTCCCCTGGGCCCACGGGAATGGGGCCACGGGACCATGGACTGGACTTCCTGAAACCATGAGCCAAGAGAAATCTTTCCTCCTGTTCTCGGGTATCTGTCAGCACAACAGAAAATGGACACAGACATTGTCCTCCTGGCGTTCCTGGCCATCCACGGGAAGGAACCTCACAGATAAAGTCTTGACCACAAGCAAGCATGACGGAATTGCAGGAGGCCCCGCTGCCTGCTGGAGAGCCCCCATCCCAGCACTGCTGCAAAGGGAGCTGGGGAAGCCCCAGGGCCTCAGGTGACAGACGAAGGTTTCCCTGTCTGTGCATCTATAATTTCAAAATACCGTAAGATCAGTGCCCTAAAATCTAAACCACCTCCCTCCCAGCCAGCTAGACTCCCCTAAGTCACCCCTGCTGTGCGTGATGACTGGTGCTCGGGGTGCCTGAGGTTCATCCACTTGGATCATGGACCTGAAAGTGTCACTGAAAAGCCAGGAGCAGCCTGTTTAACCCTTGCAGTGTGGGCTGCTGCACGCACACACACACACACACACACACACACACACACATGCACGCACGCACAGACACCATGCTCTTCTGGGCATTGGTGAGCTCACCGGCTGCACTTCCAAAGCCACGGAAGACCCAGCACACCCTGGATCCCTTTGACTCCTCCTCAGTGTGGCCCAGAAGAAGCCCCATCATTCACCCGGCCCCAGGAGTGACTCCACGGGGCTCAGCCTGTTTGTAGCATCCAACAGTCCCCAAACCTCCAGAAAAGTTGAAGTGCTGGGGGAGGTGAAGCTTCCCACATTCCCACAGAGAAGGAGAAAGCTCTTCCGGCTGAGAGGTGTGAGCCCTGAACCTGCTGGCCAGGCCGGGCTGCTTTGGAGCCCCTGGAACCACATTCTATTGGAAGCTGTCAGCTCTGCCCTCCCCCACTGACACCAACTTGGAAATGGGCCGGGTACCCCGCCTCCCTGGCGCCTCCCGGCAGGTCTGCCAACATCTGCTTAGTATGCCAGACATCCCTCCTGGCTGCGCAGCATGTGAACGCGGGGAGTTTGGGACCAGCTCAGCGCTGTTCCGTCTGCTGCTGCACGGAGACCACGCTTCAGAGGGAAAGGGAGGCTGAGCTGTGCCGCGCGCCCCTCCTTGAACATCAGACGCCTTCAGCAAAGGCAAAGACGGTCGTGGGTCCCCAGGAATCCCAGGTCTCAGTCTCACCCTCCTCATCTGGACTAAGAGGACAGACACTGTCCCTGCCTCCTAAGCAGGCAGGAGGAGGGGGTGGCATAAGGTCCAGCAATGCCTGAGCACCAAAGCTCCTCAGGGCTGGACAGTGACCCCAGAACGCGTGCTTTCCAGAGCCGCAGATGGGACCTTAGTCGCCAACAGGGTCCTTGCAGATGCAAGCATCTCATTTAATCAGAATCAATGAGAGCAGGCCCCACATCAGTGGAGGGCATCTTAACAAGAGTGGAGGGACACAAAACAGAGGGACCAGCAGGAAAGGAGACGGAGCTGCGGGTCGGGAGAGTCGTGGGGAGGCGAGGCTGGAGGGGTGCAGCCCAGGCAGCCAGCTGTGCCCCAGAGCAGGGAGCCCGCGGCAGCCCCCTCCTTCACCCCGGGCAGAAATCAGTCAGTTCCACTCCACGTCACCCACGACGCTGGCAGCTGGCGGCACACAGGGCACCGGGTGAGGCTGAGGCAGCCAGAGCCGAAAATGAAGCAGAGTGTCAGACCCAGCGAAAATCTGGACCTGGACACCAGGAGGGCTTCGGAAACAGAAAGACTGTCGCTCACCAGGGGTACTAGAAAGCCTCTAAATCCTTTCTGTTGTCCCTTAGATACTGGGGAATGCTAGTGTGACCTCTCCTGAGAAGCTCTCAGTCACAGAAATCGAGATTTGTCACTAAGTCGGGTCTGACAGCTCATCACTCAAGAATGCAGTCATGTAATTCCAGCACTCGGGAGATGGAGGCAGGAGGGTCATTGCAAGTTCGAGACCAACCTGGGCTACAAAGTGAGCTCAAGGCCAGCCTGAACTGCAGAGTGAGACACTACCTTGAAAAGACAAAAAGAAAAAGAAAAGAAAAAAAAAGAACACAGTCGTTCCTCACCGTGAATCCCTGAGAGTGCACTGTTTGGTCCCTCTGAGCGAATCACCTTCATGGCTTGGTTCTTAGATCACAGAAAATGGGCCATAAGGCCCAGGGATGCTTTGGGAAGATTCAGGAAACTGCACGCGCAGGGCGGCTGGGAGGACTTGGAGAGACGGACCCACCATTGCCGGATGAGCCCGACCCTGAGGACAGCTGTGCCAAGCCAAGGAAGCCAGTCTCAAAGGCACCAGTGCTGCACAACTGCTCAGGAAGAAGGTTCTAGAGGCTGCGGGTTCACAGAGACAGAAAGTAGGACAGAGGACTGGTGTCAGACAATCTCTCCTGCTGGACAGGACTTAGTTTGGGGCCATGAAATGTCTCAAGGTTGGGGGGGGGCGGGGGCAGCCACACAACAATGTGACCAATCGGAGCCCGAGAAGATACATTGTATCTTATGCACATTTTGCCACAATTTGGAGAGGTTTTTCCCAGAAGCCACTTTCTTATTTGCAAGAGGGACAGCTTCCAGATTTGCACAAAGCTTCCATCAGCCGCAGAGGGTAAAGCTCATTGTCTGGAAGCCGGGACCACTGCGACCTGGAGTCTGCTGCTGTTTGTGGCTCCATCCTTTGTCACCCTGTCACTGCTCCCTTCCGCCTCCCCAGCCGACGCCCCAGCGACTGAGGTCACAGCTGCAGCCCCGTCCACTGCTCTGGGTCTCCGGGCACAGCCCGTCCACCGACACCTGGCAAAGTCCCCGGCTATTTTGCCAACAGGGCCAAGCCGAGGCGGGAGGGATCCACCCAGAGCTCTGGAAGTTTCCACTTCTGCATTTTTAAAAGGCGCTGAGCCTCCGCTGGAGCCAAGTATGCCTCAGGTAAATATTTGCCTTGGTCCTCTGGGTCCCCAGGGGCCCAGGCCTGGGGCCAGATGAAAGAAGCAAAGCAGGAGTAATTTATGCAGTGGAAACCCCGGGCTCAGGGAAGGCCAGCTGCTGTGCCCAGCTGTTCTGGGCCCAGCCTGCCGAGCCCCAGGACGCCCGCTCCACTGGCCGTCAGGAGACAGTCTCTGTGACAGTTCTGAACGCTGCTGCTTTTTAATCTTTTCAACTTGATTTTAAAGAGAAAAATATCCCAAACTTCCAAACAAGATGATGAGAGTAGCAGTGGTTACCACGGTGCAGATTGTCCTCTTGAGGTGCTCAGAGAGCAAGACGGAGGCATTTGACTGTCCAAACATTAGCACAAACCTTTCTTTTCGATGAACCAAGAGAAATTAGTAGTGAACTAGCTTAACTATCTTGTATATATATGTATGTTTTTCTTTCCTTTTTTTCTCCTTTCCTCACTTTCTGTTTTCTTTTGAACAGTTTCTCCCATTTCATAATATCTATTGTACATTTTGGATCTTATTGTCTCTTTAAGTTGCTCAGACTAGGGAGACTATATGATGTTTATACACGTGAACCTGATTTATTTCCCTTATGAGCATGGTGTCAAGTTGCAACCATTTACCTATAAAAGTCTCACGTTTATCCTTCTTTCTGGCTGAGTAGTACTCCACTGTATAAAAACACTACATTTTTTTTTATCCATTCCCCAGTTGGTAGGCATTTGGGTTGTCTCCAAGATCTAGCTATTGCATGTTGTCATAGAAATGGGTGCACATATATCACTGTGATACCGTGTTTTTAACTCTTAGGGAAAGATACCCAGAAAGGGAATAACTATGTCGAATGGGATCTCGAATCCTAGTTTCTTGAGGGATCGCCACACTGATTTCCGCAGTGGTCTGCACTCCCACCAACAGTGGAGAAGTTCCTTTTCCCCCATAGCCCCTTTAGCATTTGTTATTGGTTGATTTGTTGATGGTAACCATTCTTTCTGGGGTGAGATGGAATCTTACTGGTATTTTAATTTGCATCTCTTTAAAGACCAGTGATGCTAACATTTGTCATATATTTATTAGCTATTTGTATTTCTTCATCTGAGAAGTGTGTCTTCACCTCAGATCCCCATTTTTGAATTAGGTCTTTAAATTTGGGAGGTCCAATTTTTTTTAGTTCTTTATATGTTCTTGATAGTAATCCTTTGTCTGAGGAACAGCTGGCAAACATTTTCTCCCACTTTGTGGGTTGTCTCTCCACTCTTTTGGAAGTTTTTCTTGCTATGTAAAAACATTTTAATAAGATGAAATCCCAGTGATTGATTCTCTGTGATAATTTTTGTGTGATCAGGGTTTTAGTCATAAGGTCTTTGCCTATCCTAGTGTCTATTTTCCAGCAGATTTAATGTTTTTACATTTTAATATTTAGATCTTTGATCCATTTCAAATTTAGTTTAGTGCACGGAGAAAGATGTAAGTCCAGTTTTAATCTTCGGCATGTGAAGAGCCAGTTTTCCCAGCACCATTTATTAAAGAAGCTTTCTTCTAGTGAGTGTGTTTGGCACCTTTGTTAAGATAAAGTGGCTCAGTGTGTCTGGAGTTGTTTCTGTATCTTCTAAGCTGTTCTATTGATCTTTGGGTCTGTTTTTGTGCCAGTACCATGTTATTTTTATCACAGTAGCTTTTTAGTATAGTTTCAAGTCAGGAATTGTGGTGCCCCTGCCTGGCCTGCGTTACGCAGGATTACCTTTGGTTTTCTAGGTCTCTTCTGGTTCCAAATGAATTTTAAGATTGTTTTCTCTAGTTCTATGGGATATGCTGTTGCAATTTTGATTGGAATCGCATTAAATCTGTGTAACAGTTTCGGAAATGTGGATGTTTTTGCTGAATTGGTTCTTCCTTCCCAAGAACAAGGTATATTTTTCCCATTATTCTCTTCAGTTTCCTTTTTAGAGTACTGTAGTTTCCACTGTTGAGGTCTTTTACATCCTTTATTAGATTGATTCCTAGATATTTCATTTTTTGGATGCTATTGTGAAATGTGTTATTTTCCCAGTTTTTCTCTCTGTGAGTTTATGTGTAGAAGGCTGTTGATTTTTGAGTGCTGACGTTTTACCCAGTTATAGGACTGAATTTGTTTATGAAATCTAGCAGTTTTTTTAGTGGAATCCTTGAGGTCTTCTATGTAGAGTATCATGTCATCTGCAAATAATGATAGCTTAACTTCTCCTTTTCCTATCATTACTAGTTTTATTTCGTTCTTTTGTTCTGGCTCAAGTTTCCAGGACTGTGTTGAATAAGAGTGGAGACAGGGGACATCCTTGTCTTGTTCCTGATTTTAGAGTGATTTGTTCCTGATTTTCAGTTTTTGTCCATTTGGTATGAGGTTACCTATTGATTTGTCATAGATGGCTTTTATCAGATTGAGATGATGATCATCTATTACAATTTTCTGTAGGGTTTTTCTTGTGAATTGGTGCTGGACTTTGTCAAAAGCTTTTTCTGCATCTGTGGGGATGATTATATGGGTTTTGTCCTTAGTTCTGTTAATGCGATGTATTACATTTATTGATTTACATGTGTTACATGTGGTTCACACCCCTGCATTCCTGAGATGAACCCATAGTGTATAGCCTTCCTGATAATTTTCTGCAGTCTGTTTGCCAGTATCTTGTTGAGGATTTTTGCATCTATGTCCACTAGGGAGATTGGCCTGTAGTTCTCTTTCTTTGCTGGGTCCTTCTCTGGTTTTGGTATCAGGGTCATGCTTGCTTCCAGGAATGAATGTGGGAGTGCTGCTTCCCTTTCAACTTCATTAAAGAGTTTGAGAAGTAGCGGTGTTAGGTCTTCTCTAAATTTCATGTACAATTCAGCAGTGAATCTGTCAGGGCCTGGGCTTTTCTTCATCGTAGGTTTTTAGTTATGTTTTCGATTTCATTGGTTGGCATTGGTTTATATGCTTATATCTTTTTGATTCAGCTTTGATAACTCATACGTATCTAAGACTCCGCCCCTTCCTTTTGCATTTTCTGAATAGTTCTTTCATTTTTACGCGTTGGAACAGTAGCCGAGGGGTTAGGGAATCCTGCTCGGACCTCGGGCTGGTGCAGTGCACCGGGGGTGCCACTGTCACAGGCATGGAGCGGGGTGCACCGCTGGATGGCTACACTGATGGAAGAGGACAAAGGGGAGGCGGGTGTGCCACAGGCGCAGACACCTCTCAGCGAATCCTGTGTCAGTCACACTCGCCCACTGCAGCCTCTGGAGCCCACTCAGAGCAGCTAAGAGACAATGGGGAGCCTACTGAATCTGGGGAGCTGAATCTGGGATCCAGGGGCTCACGCTCTGTCTTCTAGCTCTGTTCCCTTCTTACCTTTGCTCCCTGGACAAAATAAAAGGTCTTTTCCTTTCCAGCTCCAAAAGCAGTTCCAGGGACAGACCATTTAGGGGCCAAGCACCTGAGACGAGGAATGGGGCCATGCGGGGCCTGGTCACCGGCCATCCCTGTAGTGGGGAGTGGGATTCTGAGTGCTGTCAGTCTTTGCACGTCAGGGGAATTGGTCCCGGGGGTCATGCCATTGCCCTCTGTTAGATGGCTTTCACATGGCACAGTGCAAGGCTCCTTCAGGAGAAACAGGCTTTACAGAGACTGAGAACTAGCCCAGAGGGCGGGCCAGCCTCACAGGATTTTGTCCTCCACGTCCATCCCAGCAAGCTTGATCCAGGCTAGCAGCAGCTCCAAGGCCCGTGCCGTCAGCCCTGATGGCTGGGTGGGGGTGAGGGGTCGAATCTGGGAAGGCAGAATCTAGACAGATGCTTTTAGCTTGGGGCGTCCTCCCCAAGAACGGTTGTCCAAGGCCTTGGGAGACTTGTCCTGGCCCACGCTCCCCAGGAGGCAGGAGGCACTGCTCCCACATCTCAGCTCCTCTCTTCAGCTGGAGGCCAATCCAGCAGTGGGTCCAAGGGTGACCAGTGACCTCTGTCAGGCCATCAGGGGTTCTTCCCTAAAGTGGCTGTGCTTTGTGTTGGTGGTAGAGGGACTTTTCCTTATAGGCTTGGAGCTTCTGGGACACCCCCAGAGGAGCGCTGGGCTGCCTCCTCCTATGGGCTGGGGCAGAGCTACAAGCCAAGCAGAATCCTGTAAGGAACGATACAGAGCCTGAGCCCCGGACCCAGCCATACCTGCAACTGTCCCTTCCAAAATGCCTATCAAATTGAGCCAGAAGTTTTCCTTTTGTTTTTTTTTTGGCAGCTGGCTGTGGGCTTCTGGACCTGCTTTAAAAAGCGTAACTGACCCACAGTGGGTCTGGAAGGAAAAAATGACTGGCCAGGGTGGGCTGAGGGTTCAAGACCCATTCTGAGCTGCCTGTGAGTGTTGCCAGCCTGACTAGTGTATTCAACTTACTAAGCATCCGGGGAAAGAGACAGGGCTGGTGACAGACACTCCATGGGCTCTGCAGCACTAGCTGGTCAGGGCTAAGCCTGTCCCAACCCGCTCTGCAGCTGGGGGCTCTCAGTCTCCCGGTGTGTAAGATGGGTGGTGCTAATGGCACCCTCAGGCTCTGGCATCCCGGGAGGCTGGAAGAGCCAGGAGGAGCCCTGGACCTCGCATGCTGCCTCAGGCCCCATCATAGTGCAGGCCACGTTGCACTGGGGTCACCTGCTGGTCCCCAGCTTTCTCCTGCACAGGGAGCTGTCTGGGGGCAAGGTCCTAGCTGTCTTCTTTAGGAAAGTGTTTTTGCAACTACTGTAAGTAAATTCATTCCCCAAAGAAACGCTTCATGTCACCCCAAGAGCCTTCCCTCCCCAGCCTCAGGCCCCCAGCCAGTGAGGCCACTGTGGTCCTGTACAAAGCCTGTAGCCCACACCCTGCCAGCAGGGTCTAGCAGCAGGGGCCATTCTCTTACGTCCCCTGCCTGGCTGCCAGGGACAGGAGTGCTTGCTGTCTTCTCTGTCCTGAGAGCACAGGGCCGTCCTGGTGGTGATGGCACAGTGGGTTTTCACTTGGGAATTCACGTTTTTGAAGAGCTCCCCCTCCTAATCCTGGGCTTGGAGGCCACGGGAACGAGCAGGGGTTTCTTGTGAGCCATGATGGCCCTCGAGGTTGGAGACAGGAGTGGTCCCGCCTGAGAGAGGGAAGCAGGTAAGAGGAGAGTGGGGGACCCCTATTCTGGGACCAAGCAGCTCACACAAGCACAGCTACCACCCCTGCTGACCGGCCATAGTGACAAGTGGCTCAAGTCTCCATGCCCACGTTTCTGAGTCCGCAGAAGGCAACTAAGCCTGGAGGCAGCCCTAAAGGGCTTCTGGGCCGATGGGGGCAGTGACCACTCTCCCGTGGTGAGTGCATGCAGTGTGAGCCCCGGCCTGGGCCTTATTCATTCCCCTCACAGAGGACACAAGCAGGAGGCCCACACCCTGGGCCAGGGGCCTCTTTGCCCACCATTGTCACCCTAGTGCCTGTCACAAGCTGGCTGGCTGCATCTTGCAGAATAGAAGCAGCTACCGCAGGTGGCCAGAGCCCTGCAGGGTGACACGTCCACTCAGACCTGTCCTTTCCCAAAGTGGCTCCCGGTGCTCAGTCCTCAGGTCAATAACTGCTCCCTCTTCTATTTGTTACAGAGAACAACAGTCAAAATTTTAATTTACAGGTTGTCTGTAAATTATTGCCTGGTCTGATTTATAATTCATAGTACAATATTTATTTCCAACAGGAAATTAATTTTGGAAACTCAGTGGGTGATTAAATTAAATTGTAGAACCATTCTGCTTGCATGGGAGGGAAGTGAGTAATGGGGGTTATATTTAGAGTAAATTGGGAGGAATCTATGCTCAGAACACCTAAGACAGGAGGTGAGGGCACACATGACACCTCTCAGAGGAGGGGCCGAGCTTCCCCACATGACTGCAGGCCACGTGTCCACACCCTGTGTGGTCCCGGAGATGCTCATGGGCATTTCCCAATGATCTGCCATTAAGAGAAAGACAAGCAGGCTGAGATGACTGTGCACCCAGTTCAAAGCCACCTATCTCTTCTCCTCTCCAGCTGGAAGCCCAACGTTGAGATGGACAGAGGAAAGAAGGGGGAGAGTATAGGGCTGGGACAGTCTCCAGCTGGGAGAAATTCGCAGTCAAATCCCAGCTCTAGACACCTTCAGCCGTGACTAATTCAGCGGCTTCAGGAGCTCCTAATCTGGAGGAAGAGGGAGAAACAGTTCTCCTGTCCACTGCGAGTCGGGCTAGGATGGACGGGAGGCAGCTATTGTGTTTGTTATCTATTGCTCTGTTAGCCCAGGGATGGACGCCGTCTCCCATTTCTGTGGGCTGAGGTTCTGGGAAAGTCTAAGCTGGGTGGTTCTGGTGTGAGGTCTCTCAGGGGTCTGCATGCTGGACGTCTGGCTGGGCCGACAGGACTTTCTTCAGAGGTCCTGTTGACCTGAGGAGGGGGAGGCTCTTGAGTATCCTCACAGCCCGGCTGTGTGACCTCCTCCAAGCCCCTATGTGGATAGGGGCTGCACTGCCTTTGTCAGCATCAGAAACCAAGTTTCCAAGTCCAGTCCACCCGAAGGGAAGGGACTTGGGCTTCGTCTTTGAAAGGTGGTGCCAAAAATTGCCGCACATTTAAAATCATCGCACATGTGTCCCAGCATCGCTTGCTGTGTGACAAAGCATCCCGACACCTAATGGCATAAAAACCACAGGTGTTCCAGTGTTGTCTCCATGGCCGGGACCTGGCTCCTCTAGCTGGCCGTCACTCCGGGTCTTTCACGTGGTTTGTGATCAGACAGTGGCAGGCTGGGCTGGTCCCAGCTGGGCTCTCAATCTGGAACCACCAACCAAAATACACACACCCGACCCCTCGTGTGGCACCCGCTTCCTCCCAGGGCACTAGCAGAGTTGGATGGCTGAGAGGCCCGGGAACACTTGACAAAAGTGTGTGCCACCATTGTGCCTTAGCCTTGAAAGTCACATGGCATCACCCCTGCTGCACTCTGGCATGCAGCTTCCACCAGGCCGAAGCTCAAGGGAGGACACAGGCAGCCCATCCTTCAGTGGCAGGAGTGCCAGCCCCAGACCCTTGAAAGAGCACGTAGGGTAGGGTACTGCACCGCGGGGCTGTCAGCCTCGGCAGGTACACCCGGTCACGGGTTGCCTCCTGACCATAAAACTTCACTTTCCTCCCACATGCAAAATAGCCCTGCATGTCCCCCAGCCCACAGGCCAGCAAGACTCTGTGCATCCTGGCATCATCAGAATCAGGTCCGTGGACGACCCTCCTGGATGGGATTTGCAGAGCTAAGCACCTCAAGCTCCTCTTCCTCTCAATCTGAAGACCTGGAGCCCAACACATGTGACTTACCTCGCACACAGTGGCAGGGCCTCAGAGGCCCCTCTCAGAGCGAGACAGGGGGAGCGTGCATCTGTCCCCGCTCCCAAGAGATGCTCAAGTCCAGCAGACAGGAGCACCAGTCCCAGGATGAGGAGTCAGCTCTGCTCCTTACAGTGCGGTCTCCAGGGCCGCTGGTGCTGTCCTCCTTACATTCTTGCTGTCCCATAAGCCTGAGCGTTTGCTTTGCCCTGGGGGAGTTTTTCTGGTCCAGTTCCTCCCCCAGAGTAATGGAGGGCACAGAAGTATCTTTCCATCTGTGCCTTTCAAATCAAACTGGTACGATTCCTTCAAAAACTTAGTGGGTTTCTTCAATGGAGCAATGAATTCTTTGTAGACAAAAACCTCTCCCAAAAATATCATGGCAATAAACCCTTTCTGCTTTCACCTGATGGTAAGGTTGTTGTAGGGCGGTCATTGTAAATCCTTATAAGCTCCGTGTGTCTGTGTGTGTGTGTGTATGTGTGTGCGTTTGTGTGTGTGTGTGTGTGCGCGCGTGTTACTGGGTGGTGTAGTCAGGGGTTGTGAGGAGAACAATTAGAATCAGGACATGGAGTTTATAATATTATTTTTATGATGGTCACCCAGAGTTAACACAAAAAAGTGCAGGAAATCTCTCCACAACACCAAAGACAGAATATTCAGCCAAGGGCCTGAGTCCCACAGCAATGTCCCACATGAGTCCAGATGAAGACCCAGAGCTCATGCCAATGCATCCCACTAGTCCAACTGGAGGTCTACAGCCCACAAGAAGGACTCACGCCAGTCTCTTTTATAGATCTGCACTGGGAAAGCCCAAAGGTCAGCGGCGGAAGCTAGGAAGTCTATGTCAGTGGGAGGAAGGAGCTGTGCTGGTAGGTTGAGGGTCCTATGCTAGAGCAGATAAGTCACACTCACAATGAAGACCAGGGCTGCCCTGAAAGGCACCACAGCCTCCTCAGCAACACGAAGGCCTCAAGCTCCTCCAATGACAAACACAGTCAGGTACATGCCAGGAAGCCAATATGACAAGTTCATCCTGGAGACCAAGTGGCACACGTCTTCCCCTCCAGAACCAGAAGGCAATGCTCAATGTGAAGACCAGAGCTTCTCCAGGAAAACCAACGGCTCAAACAGCAACACATAGGAGAAGCCACAGTGCCTCAACGCCTCAACACACCTAACTCACAGCTTCTCCTTCATGTCTCTATTTATGCTGGCAACTTTCCTCAGGTGGAGCATCCATGCTCAGCACCATGTTGATATAATCCAGCTGGCGTTAAGTCTGGGTACCGAACACAAGGTCTTCACACTGAGCGACTTCCCCAGCCCACGTTTATTTTCAGGCAAGTCCTCTCCAAGCACGGAGTTGCCTGTTCTGGGCTTGAACTTATGGTGCTTCTGCCTCAGCCTTCCAAAGTGCGGAGATGAAAGCCTGTCACTGCAGGTGACCGCGCAGCCAGACTGTCGATGGGACAGGACAGGACAGGACAGGACAGGTGGAGCAAGCCTTTTCTTTCAGCTTCAGCAGCATTTTCTTCTTTTATTTAAACGCTTTGTAGAAACCTCCTCAAAGCCTAGAAAGGCTTCGGCAACCCTTCCTGCCTCTGTGCCCTGATGGCTTTGGCCCGCATGTGGCCCCAAAGCCAGTGCAGCCTCCCATCACCGTGGTGGCACTTGGCTCCTGGTACCAAAGCCTGTTCCAGCTGTCTATTTCTGTACACCAACTGAGTCCACATTTGGTGGCTATGGGCTCCAAATTCAGAAGGCAGAAGACATCACTAATGAGCTAGGACACACATAACACACATGCACACGCGTATGTGCGTACACACAAGCCAACATCCAGCACAATACCTGCCCATTCACAAGCAGTCAGTGAACTTCCTCTGAATGAATGAATGTTCTTCCTCTTTCCAGCATTGCCCTCCAGTCCCCAGCAGTTGGGGACATCAAAGAGGCAGGCAGATGCCTCGGCATGGGGATCTGGGGTCATTAAGGGGCCACCTGAGAGGGGACATGGAGTCTCTTACCTCCACTTTGCCCCCCCCCCAGCAGACCAGTCGGTCCCAGCAGGGGCAGGGGGGCTCCCTCTCCCACCAGCTCACTTGCTGGGCCCCCACCCCAGCCCATCTGCTCAGCATGTGCCAGCATTGTCAAATTGTTTGAATAAATTGTCACTCTGATTAAAATGTTTATGTCTGTAGGATGACTCGTTTCTGCTAAATTGTACCCAAACAGTCTTGCACTCACCATTAGATATTTGACATCTGTGTCTGGCTCCTCTGCTAACGTCCAACCAGAGCGCTGCATGCACCTAGAAGCTTCCTGCCCCCTCCCTCCCTGGCCACCCAGAGCTTCTCGGGGCTGGGCCCATGTGGGTGGGAAACGGGAGGACAGTGCAACATGTCTGTGCCACTGTGTGCTTGCCGAACTTCACGAGTAAACACCACACCACACAAACACTTATGCACACACACACACTTGTGCACAGCAGTTAGCTTTCATTAGAACATAATTAAATAACGGCACTCTCAGTGCAGCCTCAAAATCAGTCCGTGTTTACCATCCATTATGGAGGGAGAAAATAAAAGAAAATCTAAGATGGAGGCACACACTCTCAGATTTCAGATGAGCTAGTTAAAGTATCACACTCCTGTAAGATCCTGAACTTCTTTGTGATAACCCTCATCCTACAGGATGGATGGATGGATGGATGGATGGATGGATGGATGGATGGATAGATAGATAGCTGGGTGTATATACAGATGGGTGGGTAGATGGGTGGATGGATGGATGGATGGGTGGGTGGGTGAGTGGATAGATGGATGGATGGATTTATGGATATATGAATAGATGGATAGATATATGGGTAGCTGGGTGGATATACGGATGGGTGGGTGGATGGATGGATAGATGGATGAGTGAGTGGGTAGATGGGTGGGTGGATGGATATATGGGTGGACAGATGGATGAATGGATGCTTAGATGGGTAGGTGGATGGATGGATGCATGGATGCATGGATGAATGGATGAATGGATGGATGAATGGATGGTGGATGGATAAAACAACCACTCCATTCATTGCTGCTACAATGCAACATTTGTAACCATTATTATTAATAACAGTATTTTTCTATCACTGCATAACAAATTATCACAAACTTAGTGGCTTTTAGTAATACGCTTTTTTCTCTCACATTCTTGTGGGTCAGCAGTCCAAGCTGGGACCTGGCACAGGGCGCCAGGACTGTAATGAATCTGTTGGTTGGGCTGCCTTCTCTGCTGTGGGTTTCTGTGGGGGAAGACTACGACCCAAGCTCTCACAGGTTGCAACTCACATTTATGTCAGCTGAAGCCTCTCTCCTGTCCTGGAGGTACCTGGAGATGCTTTCCATGTCCTTGGGTCACCAGCCTTGTAAAACCTCTAGGTAAATCTCACTGCAGCTGGCACAGCCATCACTTACCATGTGAATGAATGCACCTTCTCGGCCCCTGCAGGCATCACAGCAGATGGAGAACAAGGCTCCCAGAAGGCAGGAGTGGTCCTGCATCTGGGTGGCTGAGCTCCAGGTAAGACATGTCTGCTGGGGGTGGCCATGGGGAGGTGTCTGTCCAATCCTGTGTGGGGCTGGACCTGCTTTCTCAATGTCACTGCAGGCATCCATCACCCGAGATAGGTCACCTGTCTCTCTCTCCCGGCTATGATGCCTTCCCAGGCAGACAGCCCCCCAGTTTCTTCCCTGTCTGATGGGACTATTGCCAGGTCTTCTCTCAGGGGCTGAAAGATTCCCAGGGAACACTGCAAGTGACACAGTGACAGTGCAGGCTTATCACAAGTTCCCAGCGACCACCAGACAGTGAGGTTAATGTGCCTGCACTCAACACCCCACAGATGTCTGAGCATCCCCTTGTCCAGGTTCCTCGCCTCTTCTCAGATCTGGGTGTGTCTCCGTGGTAGGGGTCTCCTAAAATGTTCTTCCTAAAATGTGCTTCCTAAAATGTTTAGCAGCCTCCTGGGCCTCCACACACGTCCCATCTCCCACTTGGACAAGCAAAAAACACCTCCAGCCACTGCCAAGAGCCCATGGGCGCGACGGTCCTCCACTAAGACCTATGGCAAATGGCAGAGAGGGGCTTGTTCTGGGGGAGGCTCCCAGAGGCCTGGCCTCAGGTCTGGGGGTGTTGAGGAGGAAGAGGCACAACGGCCAAGCTGTGGGTAGCACTCCACGTGCTGGCACAGCTCTCACCTCTGTCGGGTGACAGAGGCAGGAGGGAGCAGAGATTTCCCTCTGCCTCTGCCCCACACTTTTTTCCACCTTCCAGGTTTTATTCCCTCCTTTTCTTCTTCTTCACATTCTTTATCGTTCCACTTTTTCTACGAGATTTTCCCAAATATGCTGCCCAGGGCCCCGGGGACCTGCAGGCTCCAAGGCCACCTCCCTCGCAGACTATCTCTTTGCTCGAGCACCAGCGCTGGCCCTCTGACAGCCAGGCGCCCTTTCCAGCTGCCCATGTCCCAGCATGGACGTCCACTCGGTGAGGATCGTACACATCCGCTCTCCGAGGGCCACCCCGTGCTGTCACCAGGCCCAGCACTGGCAAGGTTGTGTCCACGCTTGTCCCTGAGTTTCCCACCGTGGGATCCCTCTCGTTTCCCACTGAGACTGCCCTGCAGCTCCCTTTCTTTTCCTGCTCTCTCCAAGCACCCAAACATCCGCCAGAGAGGGAAGAGCAGACCGCAAAGAGCCTCCCCCTCTCCCGCCCTGCTGTGCCCGTGGGAGCTTTGGAATCTGTTTCCCCTGCTCGTCATCCAGGATCCGGCCTCTCATGCCTTTCACCCACCATGCAGATGCAAAATAGGTCCCACCACCACTCAGGACTCTGCTTTGGGTCCCCTTTCATCCTTCCCACGACCTTGGCCTATACCACTGGTTCCTCGTCTTCCCATACCGCCCGTGATCCCGTATTCACCCTGCTGCATCAGGGGCCACCTCTGCTCCCACCAGCAGGCCACTGCACTGATGCTCCCCCTGCTTGAAATAGTCTCCTCGCTTTATTCCAGTGAGCTACTGTCTCATTTTCTTTAGGTCTTTACACAATAATGCCTTCCCTTTGAGAGCTGATATAACCTACATTGAAATTACACACATTCTCACCACCATCATCACGACCACCACCACTATGACCGCCACCATCACCGCCACCAACATCACCATGGCCAACATTATCACCATCACCACCAGCACCAGCACCAGCACCACCATCACCATCCTCACTCCCTCAAGAGGTATTGGCAGAAAGATGAAGGCATTTTCCGCTACGAGTTTAAGTAAGAAATGCCTGCATAACTTTCATGAGTTTTGTGCATGGCTGTAGTGTGCACACGTGCCACAGGCACAGGCTGGAA